ATGGTTCACAATCCTCTGGAACTCCAGTTTGAGGGCCTCCAACACAGTTCCAGGGGATCTAAAGCCCTCTCCTGGCCCCTGAAGGCACTGCACACATGTGGCAAATATACACACACAGGTATATACTCACCATACATAAAATAAAAACTAAATAAATGTTCAAAGCATCTTTAAATTTCCCTAAATTAAAAAAAAAAATTATTTGCTTGTGCCTAAGTCATTACTGATTTTAAGACTAGGCTATTTTGATAACTTTTCCTAACTGGGCTATATCCCAAGTTCAAGGCTTCAGCCCCAGCAGCTGCATAGGTTTCTGGGATGGTGCCAGCCTTCCAGGCCAGGTCTGAAACCTGCTGCTTCTACCCTGCATCCTCTTCTCTCACACATCGGTGACCAGACCTGCTCCACAAAGAGTTGTGTGAGATCCAGGACTGGCTGGGCACTGCTCACCGCAGCTTTCAAAACAGTGCCAGGTTCAGCAGGAGCTTGGCACATGCGTGTTGCTGGAGCCATTTCTCTCGCTGAGACCCTGAAGTTCCTTCCAAGCACTCTGGGCAGCTGGCATGGCAAACAAACACGGCACCATTGTGCGATGCTGCTTTCCTGCCCCAAATCACCTTCCTCCCTGTGAACACCACCACCACACACCATTTCCTCTGCCTTTCCCAGTCAGGAACCCACACCTCCTTGAGTTACCAAGTGAATTATTCATAGCTGGTTTATTGAAGAAGCTCAATTCAGTGGGAGCATACACAAGGAAACTTAGTCCAAATGGAGTTTGTGGCTTCTGTCTCCTCCCAACTCTAAGGGTCTCCTTTTACTTTTGTCTTTAGAGTGGTCTCTTAGCATTTAATGCCTGTTTATGATCAACTTAAATGCAAGGTAGGGCTAGGGTGTCTGGCTACTGACGTTAACCTGGGCTTTGCCATCCAAGGCCACATTCACCCTGAAGTGGGGATCTGCTTAAAGGAAGGTGTGCAGCAGCAAGGATTGCTGTCAGGGACAGAATGTGGCTTTCTCTGCTGTTTCTATAGCACAGGACATCCAAGTGTACCTTGGCCTCCCAGGCCTCCTGGCTCCCTATACTGTCCCACCCCAGTGCTCTGACACTTGCTTTCTTGTGTGCCCTGCTTTGGAATGTTCTGCAGTATGGGGTTCCTAGACTCAAATGCCTTCCTTAGGGCAGCAGACATTCTGAAAAAAATGGAAAGTAGAAGGTCAACTAGAAACCAGGAAGGAACCAGAAACACTCTGTTCCCTTCTCTGGGGTACTTCGGACCATGGTTCTATGCTCTAGCAGCGACAGGTAGCCTGGAGAGATATCTGTATCCATGGGAGGATGGCAAGCACACAAGCGGATACCCCAGGCTGCTGCCAGTACAGTAAGGAAAGAAAAACCCATTACAAAATGTTGCCATTGTCTTCCTTTGGGGTCATTACTGCTGCAGTGAAACAACAGAACCAAAAAGTAAGTTGGGAAGGAAAGTGTTTATTTGGCTTACACTTCCACATCATCAGAGGAAGTCAGAACAGGAATTCAAACAGGGCAGGAACCTGGAGGCAGGAGCTGATGCAGAGGCCATGGAGGGGTGTTGCTTAATGGCTTGTTCCTCATAGCTTGCTCAGCCTGCTTTCTTATAGAACCCAGGACTACCAGCCTAGGAATGGCACCACACATAATGGGCTGGGCCCTCCCCCCATCGATCACTAATTAAGAAAATGCCCTATAGGCCTGCCTACAATACAGTCTTATAGGAGCATTTTCTTAACTGACATTCCCTCCTCTCAGATGGCTTTAGCATGTGTCAAGTTGACATAAAACTAGCCAGAACAGCCATAATAGAACCTATAAAAAATCCAGCGTCAGGTTAAAAATTGCCAGTGTGTTGAGATTTCAGTGTGGTGGACTCTAGCTCAGGTGTGTTTGATGAGGTTTCTGTATCAGTCACTTTTCTGTGGCTGTGATAGAACACCATGACCAAATGCAACTTACAAAGAGTTTGGCTAGAGTTCCAGAGGAGAGACAGTCATGGACAGGGAGATAGCAGGCAGCTGGAACAGGAAGCTGGGAGATCACATCTCCATCCACAAGCAGGGAACAGACAGCAAACTCGAAGGGGGAGAGGCTATGAACCCTCAAAGCCCACCTCCACAGACGTATTTCCTCCAGCAAAGTTGTACCTTCTCAAGGTCCATATCCTCCCAAACAGCTCAATCCACTGGAGTCCAAGTGTTCAAATACTTGAGCCATAATGACTATCCTCTCTCAAACCAGTATCATAGACTGTGGCCTGAACAACAAACATTTGTTTCTCAACATTATGACATTAGAGTACAGATTTCAACATTTGAATTCGGGGACAAACTTTCATTCTACTGCAGATGGCAGTATTTAAAAAAAATAACACACTGAACAAAATCAATATGGCTGGGAGACTTTCTGTCTTCCTCAAGAATGCCTGGGCAAAGGAGCTAGTGCTGGTGGTGTTCTCTGGGGCCTTGCTATAATTATATTCATAGTCAGCCCCTACACCAAGTATGCTGCCATGATCAACCAGGCCACACTCTATAACTACCCAGTACCTGTGTGAGATAATGGGAATAGGCCTATTGTGCCCAGCCACGCCCAGGACCCTCAGGGTCCAAGCCTGGAATGGCTGAAGAATCTGTGAATAGTCCTGCTGATGGAAGAGGGCCCCTTCCCTGTTGACCCCTCCCCACGCCTGCTGTCCAGGGAATGCTGGCCACCTCTAACTGGAAACGCTACAATCAGTGGATGAACTGAGAAACTGTGCTCTCCACATGTTCGGAAGGACCACAACCCTTTCCCTCTCTCCTGGGTACCAGCAATAGTCCTTAGTAAGCAGAGGAGCTGTTGAGCTGTTGAGAACAAGGTCCTGTTGACAAGAAAGTGTTCCCAGAAAAACTAGCTACTATGGTTGTTGTAGCAGCATGGCTTGTGATGAAAGAAATTGCAAACAAGTTACATTTGCCAAGGAATGTGAATGTTTAAAGCATGTGGCCAAACCAGGGAATGAAATGGTTATTGTTAAGTGGTTCTCCCCAAGGCCAGTTCTCCTTGCCTAATAAGTGGGTCAAGAGGCATATGGACAGATGATCCCACTTTGTAAAGCAGGACAGACTGAATGTGGGCTATGTGGGTTTCCCCAGAGTGCAAAGCAGACAGCTGCTCTGGCATGGCCTATGTGGCCATGACAGTCACCATATCTTCATCTGCTGTATGATCACAGCTTCCTTGAGCAAACCAGGCACTGGGGACGCTGTTGGCAGAACCTCTGCCCGTGAGATGCACCATTTGGTAGAAAAGACACAAGTTCAGTGGAAACATAAAATATTTGACAGATGAGAGGTTGGGAGAGGGGCAAGAAGGAAACCCCTAACCAGGGAGAGTAGGGGAGTTCCAACAGTAACCTTGAATCTGTGTCAAGTGTCATTCGAATGAAAAGCAAGGTGCGCTGTCCAGGCCTGAGAGGCAGGAAAGACCTAGGCTGGCCTCACAACTGGTTAATGTCAGGCCTGGATGATGGGCAGCTATGGGCTGAAGATAGCTGGGTGGACACAATTTCCACTCCTTTTGGGAGAATGTGGACAGATAATAGGATAGTCAAAACCACCAGAGTCCCCTAGGCCAAGCAGAGGAGCCCAGAGGAAGCACCTGGTCACCGGCATGTTGGCCCAGGTCCCTAGTCATGATTGCCAACTTTTACTTGGGCCAGACAGAGTGATGGGTGGCGTCCACACCATCCACCCTCTACTCTCCAGCCAGAGGGGATGGTAGGCCCTTGAAAATCTCCTGGGGACATCTAGGAAGCCACTAAGCACTCTGAACCTGAGCATAACAGAGGACAGCTAGGTGGGGCAGATTCTTACAGCCAGAGACACAGACACATGGTGTCAGCATGAGGACTGCTGCTGGCTACAACAAGGGCCAGCTAGCTGCTGATGACAGGGTTTTACTGCTGCCCAACTCCACCGGCCACCTTCAGAGCAATGGTGTCCCACTCGAAGCTGCACCCCCACACGGTTTTTAAGGGAAACCTTAGAAATTGTTTTAGTGTTAGGAGATAAGAACAAGTGAAGTGGGAACCAGATCTCAGTACAAACACAAACAGGAAAAGGGCCAGAACAGGGCAGTCCATGGGGCAGGCCCGGCTCCACACGGACAAAGGCGCATCTCACAAGACATACCAAATTAATCCCAGAAATGGCTGTTTATTAAGAGGGGCAAAGACTGGAGGTTCAAAGCACTAGAAGCCATCCCAGAGGCTTCACAGACTGGGCCAGAACTGCCTGCTCTTAGTCCTTCCTGGCCCAGTGGTACCTGTTCTACAAGGACACTCTGTTAGCATGACACTGTGGGACTTCCTCATCGGCATGCAGTGGGTTTCCTAGGAGGTTCACAACAGTGTCACAAAGATTAAGGAAAGAAACAGTCTGAGCCTCTGGTGGCCACATGGAAACTCACCAAGATGGAAACAGCCGTTATTTTGTTTAGAAATATTTTGCTCAGAAAAGTTAAGTTTTCACTAAAATATAGCACTCAAGCTTACATGACCTCTGTTTCCTTTCGTGGTTTAAATGCCATTTGAAAACTGTGACATGGCATGTGCTGACAAAGCCAAGGGATCCTGGGGCCAGAAAGACAATCTGAGCACATGGCTGCCTGCTCTATGATGGCTCCTGTCATGTATAGGTCATGTTACACAGCTAGCAGAACCACCTCTCCCACAAAGTATAAAAACTGCTTGGGGTATAAACACTGTGACCAGGACGCTTCTACCACACCTGGGCCCAAAGGCCTCATATGTCCATTTGTGTCAAGGATTTCATAATGTCTCCCAAGAGGCTGTTGTGTCCCAGCCACCCCTCTTGTCCTGTGCAGCAGCTTGGCAGAGCCAGGCATTGCTTGCCTGTGTATGCCAGCTTCAATCATACCCACAGCAAAACCCCAGAAACACTTATAGCATATACGACACATAACAGGTTAGTATCTTTAATTGCATACGGAGCTCTTATAAACTGGTCAGGACCATCAGTGGAGCAAAGGACATCGGCAGTCTGTAAGAGAGGAAACGCAATCACTTGGCGTAAAAAGATGCTCAACGTGCTGGAACCAAAAGATGCAACTGAAGCATGACTATGCTGTTCTCCTCAAGTCAGAAAATACTCAGCCCTGGCAGAAGACCCTGAATCAGACACACTTACCCTTGCTGGTGGCAGTGCAATGGACACAGAAATTTCTGGAAACTTTTGTCAGTAGATAATAAAAGTCTCAAGGGCCCCATATTCGTAAATCCAATAATCCCACCTTTGAGAGTCTACTAGGGAGTAACTTGGCCCTAGGAGGAAAACCTGATGCACCATCAATCTCTAACACAGCACTGTCCCTCTGTCTGAGGGAAGGGTTCACAGCCACTCAGAATAAGGTTAGTGGCACATGGGAACAGGTGTGTCATATGCACATGGTGGGATTCACTGACAGCACCATGTATGTATAAAAGGCAAAGAAAGATGGGGCCAGGGACAGGAAGGAAACACCAAAACACCGAGTCTGACCATTTTCTTTCCCCTCCCTGGTCCCCTACCTGATGTGTGCTGCCTTGGAGAAGGGGAGCCCTGGTCCAGCTGTTGGTGGCACTGAATGGGGACTCCTCTCTTTAGCTCTACCTTCTGTGCTGGGTCAGCTGCCACCAAGTCCAATGTGAGGTCCTAAAGAGATGGTAAAGGCAAGAAACCCCCCAACACTGGGAAGCTTGCCCACTGGCCCAATCTCCAGCTCTCACCTCCAAACCTGAGCCTCATGCCACGATGGGCTAGCAAAGCTCCTGATGGACCCCTTCTGAGCAAAGTGCAACAGAACAGACTTATCAACAAAGGGCACTTCAGCGCCCCTGCCACCTAATGCTCTGTCCCCAGTGTGCTCCAGCCATGCCCCAGGCTCGCTCCCTAAGTCCCCCTCAGTCCCTACAGCTTCCCCACCTTAAAGTCACTAAATGCCTTGGGACATGAAGACAATCCAAAGGCCATATTACACATCAGGCTGGGAAGTCACCCTCATGCCAGGTCCCATTGTCAGGTAGATACTGGAGACAGTAGAGCCTGCTGACCAGATGGGGATCACAGAGTCTGGGAAGCAGGCAGAGTACTGCTGCAACAGTCCATGCTGGAAGGCCACTCCGTACACCAACTCCTCCATCCCCCTCTCCCTGTGCTCTTCTGAGCTCAAGAAACTACAACCTTAAGATATGTACAAAGCTTCCCCTCCCCCTACCTCAGCTTGATGTCATCATGGCAGTCTCCCTCTGGAGCTGCATGGGCCTTGCATCTTGTCATTTTGGCTGGGGACTAACCATGCCCCCCTGCTAGAACCACCATGGGATTCCTTAGCAACAGATCCAAAATGCTTCTTCAGGTCCCAGGTGGAGGGTAAGCCTCAACCCTCTCTCATGTGCTCCAGGCTGCATGCCACAGAGCTATCGAGATGGCTCTAAATACAGGGCAGCGCTGGCCCATTTCCACAAATACCAACACTAAGAAAAACAAAACACACAAACAAACAAAAAACCACCAAGCCAGTGCCACCAGAGCTGCAGTGTGGTCCCACTGCAGCAGAGTGACCCAGGTGATTCAGCCCAGATGGCAAAGGGAGATAGTAAAGCCATGTAGGAAGACAGCCAGCCTGCATGGCTCTGGCTCCGGCACCAGCTGAGGACTCTGAAGCAGAACCTAACACAAATACATCACCCATTGGTCCAAGGAGCCACAGCAGGTGAGCCACATGCCTCCCAGTGGGTCTCTAATCCTAGTGAGAAGGCCACAAAGAAACCTTCCAGGTGTCTCTTGCCTCCACAGATACCATCCGGCTTTTCTGGTAAAGCTGTGGAGTCCCCACTACTGGAAGGTCCTGAGACTCAGCTGTAGGGGACCAGTTAGCATTCTCAATGGGACCATCTGGGAATCTTCGGCCCACTTATGAAGCACCATGGTGCCAGCAGGGTGCCTCGGTCTAGGCTGTTCAGCAAGGCTGCTGGGCTAACAGAGTTAACAAGAAGCAGGTGGCTGTGGGCTTTGAGCCCAGTGAGCACTGAAGACTCCTGGCCTTAGAAGGGTGGCTGCTTTGGAATCAGTCACTTTCCCCAATGACAGAAGTCTCTGAAAGAGGCCAGGTTCCAGGCCCCAGCCTCTGAACTCCCAAGAGGGGAGTGTATTTGGGTGGGTGCAGAGGTGATTTTTTTGTGGTCAAGCCAAGACCATGCAGAGGAGGGCAGGAGAACCCAGGAGAGGCACCTATCTCCCCCAAGGGGCCAAGTGGGCATGTAAACACAGTTAATTTGGCATTGAAATGTGACAGATGTCACTGTCCAGAAGCTCGGCTGAGTCTGAGTATGATTTCCAGGCCAACCTTCTTCAAAGAAGCCAATGCTTTGTTTCTCAGAATTGAAATGTGTGTCCACATGAGGACAAAAGCTGTTCGCCGCTCTTCACCATTCTTCAGCAAGAGGTCAACACCCCCTACTGAAGGTGCTCGATGCCTTCCAGAGGAACTGGCCCCCAGCCAGTCTTTTGTTCTTGGACAAAGGCTAGCCATTAGGCCCAGGCACAGAGAGTGTATATGTCAAGTGGGTACCTTGGACTAGAGATGGTGTGGGTGGATAAAAGGCCAAGGTGAAAGCCACGTGGCACCTGGGTGAAAAAAGCGTCTGTGGCTAGACAAGGCCCACGATGGAGCCACGCCGGCAGGCATGAGCAGATGCCTGTGAGCCTCTCCATGAAAATCCAGGCAGCAAATGGGGTCCTCAGGATCCCCCTCAGTCTGTTATAGCTGATCCATGGATGCCAGGAATCTGCTGCCTGTGGAACCCTGGTGGAACTGCCCAGGGTTCCAGGTCCACGACTAACTCAACAGATGAATGTTAGACTTCCCTGATGCCTTCCAGAACACTGACAGTCACAGACAGGTGCGAACAAGTCTCCTGTGGATGGGAGAGGCAGGAGGAATGTCTATGAAGGACCAGGCCTTCTGAGCAACAGCAATGGGGTATACTGGAGTACAGGCTCCCCCCATAGGGGAAAGGATCCCTGGAATGCAGAGTGACTATCTGGCTACCTTGCCAAATGACCAGATGTGGGCAGCCTGGTTCAGGTACACATCAGCTACCTACAGGGCCAAGCTGGTTTCTTTCTGTTCAGAACTCATCAGCAAGACCAGAGTGACCAGGAAGGGAACCGCCAGGGTGCTTACAGGGAGTACACAGAAGCTGAATGTCCACTAGGTGAGACTGCAGAGGTGGTCAGCCTAAATGATTCTTAGGCAGGCACATGTCCAAGGGGCTGTGCTGTGATTACTAGAGAAGCTGGGATTGCCAGCGACAGAAAGGGGAGCATGCACTGAGTTGCAGGTAAAGCTAGCAAAAAAAAAAAAAAAAACAACAACAACAACAACAAAAAAAAAACCGCACAGCAGGGTGGATAACCAATGAAGATGGCAGGATGGACTCCCATAGACCAAGAGAGGCGTGAAAGTGTCTGCAAACAGGACAATACTACCATATTGACAATTCTTCTTAGCAACAGTCTAGCTACCTGGATGGCCACAAGTCTCTAAAGGTTCCGGCTGCGGGTGGGCAAGGCTGGTGCTGGACTGGTCCCATTGGAGGCTGGATGCACTGGACAAGGTCCTGTGCCAGCTGTGGTCAGTTGGCGGCATAACATCTGCCGCTCCCGCACAGCCCTATTGGATGCAGAAGTCTTCCGGATTTGTGCACGCCTTGAGTGCCTCAGTGGGGATTTGTAGGTTCTGCGTAGCTCAGCCAGAAAGCCCTGGTAGTTGTTTCGCAAAGGGCTATCTGGCTGCATGTGGGGGATAGCCCACTTCTCCGCCTCCCCAGTCAGTCGGGACACCAGGAAGGCCACTCTCTCTGCTTCGCCTGGGAAGCGGGAAGCTTGAAAGATCATGAACCTGTCCATCTGCATCAGGAATCCCGCCAACTGGCCAGGGTCTCCAGAGAAGGGTTCAGGCAGTGAGGTGGGTGGTGTGGTCATGGGTCGGCTCCCATTGGAGGTGATGGCAGAGATAGGTGGAGTGATCTGCAGGGCGCCAGGGATGCGTGCCCGGGTGCGCAACAGGGTAAGCTCGGCCATCACACTCTCCAGCATGTTGGTGAGGTTGGCCTTCTCAGCCCTCAGTGTGGAGGCTTCACGCCTCAGAGCAGAGTTGGTGAGGCGCAGGGAGGTCAAGGTGTCAACCACATCATCCATCTGTGCGCTGGCACCAGGAGCAGAGGCTGGGCTTTCGGTTTTGGCTGTCTGAGGTTGGACCATGCTGGCCAAGGGCAAGTCACTGCGAGTTGGAGAACCAGAGCAAAAGGCTTTGGGTGCTGAAGCAGGTGCACCCAGGCAGAATCTTGGAGGGCAAGCCTGTGGATGCTGGTCCTGTCCTGGGCACAGTTCCTTTCGGCTGGCTTTTGCAGGGTCAAGGCGTGGGGCGCTGGCTGGACCCGACCAAGCTTTGAAGGATGTTCGAAGTGAACCTGCTCAACCCTTGCAAGATGCACAAGCTGGACCTACCCAGGCCTTGCAACATGAGCGAGCAGGGCCTGCCCAGGCCTTTCGTGATGAAGGGCCTTGGACCTTCCCAGGCCTTGCAGGATGGATAGGCTGGACCTGCCAAGGCCTTATGCGCTGTCCAGACTTGGCGGGACGCACCTGCCGGAGCTCCGGCCGCGGGTGAAGGCGCTGCCCGCGGGTGCCACGCGACTACCTCCGAGAGAACAAAGACAGCCGCACCTGGGCTGGTCCCTGCCAGGCGGTGTGTGTACCTGTCGCTCCGCCAACCCCTCCGCTGCCAAGATGGCCCGCCGGTCGGAGCCGCGCCCGGCCTGTGCGTCACGGTGGCCGCCGGAACTGCCTCCCGGGCTGCGGCGGCGGCTGCTATTCCCACGGGGCTGGAGTGGCGGGGTCGTGGCACTGCGCGGTCACTGCGCAGTCTTTGTGCGGGCGCAGCCGGAGAGACAGCAGCGGAGAACCAAGCAACTGGGTCGGGGCCTGCTGGTTGCCATGGAGACCGCCCGCTCCCGGAGCGCGGTCCGCCAGAGACATGCCTTCCGGAAGTGACGCAGCCCCGCCTCCCGGGCCATGCGCCTTTCTCAGCGGCCTATCAACAAGAAGCATGGGTTCTGTCATTTGATTCTCACTCTTGGAAAGCTTCTGTTCTTTCTGATTCTTCCCAAAACAGCATCCCAAGCTTCTCAGTGGTGGTGTCTTTTTTGTTTTGTTTTGTTTTCCTTTTTCTTTTTAAATGAGGTTGACTTTTCTTATTGTAACTTGAATGCAATTCGCAAATTGTATTCAATAGTAGAAAATCTTGACAAAAAAGAAAACTATTTTTTTATTATTATTATTTTTTTGAGCCAGTATCCTATACACCAGACTGGTTTGGAAGTAGCCAAGGATAACCTTGAATTGTTCTGCCTCCACCTAGCCATTACCGGATTGCAGGAGTTTGGATAGTTTTCTTCCCCTCCCTCTTTTTTTTTTTTTTTTTTTTTTTTTTGTTTTTTTTGTTTTGTTTTGTTTTGTTTTGTTTTTGTTGTTGTTGTTGTTTTTTTGTTTTTTTGTTTTTTGTTTTTTGTTGTTGTTGTTAATCAGGGTCTTGTGTTGCCCAGACTGGCCTTGAACCCACAATGTTGCCAAGGATGACCATGACCTTCAGTGTGCTGGGATTACAGGCTCTGAGTGCCACAGCCCTGTGTGGTGCTAGAGATCAAACCCAGGGCCTCATGCCTACAAGCATGCCACCACTGAGCTGAATAAATCCCCAGTCCTGGAAAAGCCTTAGAAAACAAACAAAGAAAAAAAAAAACCTTTCAGTTCCCTCAGTGTCCTACTTGTACACCTGACCCTGGATGCTGTGGCCTACCTAGGGGCCTGCTGTAGTTCAGCTGTGGTTGACAATATAGACTGAGGTTCCCCCATGCTGTGGAATAGTCCTGTGTACTGTGTACATTTTCTGATTGGTTTAATAAAGAAGCTGACTGATCAATAGCAGGACAGGATAAGGTTAGGCAGAAAACCCAAACTAAGGAAGGTTAAAAGAAGGGCAGAGTCCAGGAGAGAGAAGTTAACCAGCCAGGAACAAGACATTCCAGAGAACAGATAAAGCCATGAAGCCGCATGGCAAAATGAATTTAAGTTGTAAGAGCTAATTAGTAATAAGCCTGAGCTATAGACTGGATTTTATGTAAATAATATAAGTTTTTGTGTGATTATTTGGGACCTGGCAAGCAGAACAAAAGAAAAGTGCCACCTCCATTTGTAAGACCCTTAGAATGAGGAGTCTCCCAGTTTCGGTCGGTATCCCCAAGAACTCAATGTCCAGTCCAGTTGCTGCAACACACAAGAGGCTTTAATGAACAGGAAACGTTTGCACAAACGGGCTCCTCCAGCACACACGCTAGAGAGAACCCCCCCACAGGTGTTTTTAAAGGCAAAACCCACAAGCTTAGGGAGGGGGTGGGACCCTCTGTCCATTGAGTGCATGACCCTTTGAGGCCAGATGGTCTCACTATTAGAGTCAACAGACCTGAGGGCCTCAGGGTGTGCTAATTAATCTTGTCTGGGCAAACCGGAGGTACAGTTATCTCTTTGTTTCTTAAGGACCCTAGTTACCACCTGCTGACTCACAAGAAAGGAGGGGCAATGTAAATTCTTGGTATCTTGTTATCTCAGGGCCTTGTGAGGGGAAGTTAGCAAATTCCAAGGAACAGATATTGGTCTGGGTTAGTTTTCCAGGTTAGTCTGTCCTTCATTTCAAGTGGGGGGTTTCTTTAACTTTACTTTTTTGTCTTTCACATTGACATCCTAGTGCCTTGGAAAGAAAGTATGTCACATGGTACCAAGGATGATCCACATAGGCCCACCCTTTGGATTAGATGAGAAAATTTATTGAGCATGTAGCAAGGAAAAGTAAAAGAACAATTAGCAAACATCAGGCAAAAAGCAAATCATCAAATCAGTGCTCAGATATAATGGCGGCTGTGGCTGGAATAGCCTTGCTGAGAGCAGGCCAAGGGAGCAGCCTCAGTGGGGCCAGGAACGCCCCGAGGGCCTGGGGGAGAAGCGCATACCTGGTACCTGGGATTCCCTGTTGCAACTGACCAGCTTCTTGGTTCCCATTCCCACCACAAGCATTTTTGTGTCATGGGATAAACAATAGTAACTTCTGTTTGCTTTCTAGCTGTCCTCAGGAAGCAACGATTTTAAGGTCCTTAGCTGCAGGCTGTCTTCCTTTCTCCTGGCCTAGATTGGAGCCAGCTTGCCTCTAGAGGGGGGCTTTAGAGACCCCCCCTGAAATAAACATGCTAGGGTCTGGCACAAGGAAGCCCCCTACCCACCCAAGTCAGCTTGCAGTAACCTTAAACAACACGTGACAATTTGCCAATAAATTATATTACGGAAGGCAGAAGGCTCATCCTAATTTTGGATAAGATAAAGCGTGACATTTGCTTATACTTTGCCTCATTTCAAAGAGGCAAATAAAAGCCGTGGTTCAGAAAAAAGGAGTAAAATGAAAATCCAGACTGGGGTGTTTTGTTTTTGAGACTAGGCCATGTAGCCCAGGCTGGCTTTAAACTCATGCAGGATGCCTCTCCTGTAATTGGGACTGGAGGGTAGGAACAGAGCCAGGCTGTCTTTTGAAGCCAGAGGTGAGAAGAGAAACAAGTCACTTGGAAAGAAGAAATTCATCTCAGTCATTTCATGGGGGTGGGGGTGACAGCATGTGTGAAAGTGTGGCCCTAGACACCCTCCCCTGAGCCCATATCACCTGGATGGATGAACAGACCACAGAAGGGTGACATTCTGAGACTCAGAACCTCTAAGTCAAAATCATGTTCTTAACTGCAGACCAGGCCTCAAATATGACATGCTAGGTGCTGGAAAGAAGTAGGGAGGGAGGGAAAGAGGGAGGGAGGGAGGAAGAAGCTTTTACTCACAAATAAGAAAACTCAAAGCCTGAAACATCTAGAGCTATGCTTGATGGCAACAAAATCAACAATCAAAAAATGAATTAACTCCAGATGAAATTAAATAGTTGAAACAATGAAGGGACTTTAAACTGAACATATGTGGGTATTTGTTAAGAATAATGAGTGAATAATATTTATGAAAGAATGGAGGGAAGGGCATAGTGCATCAGGATCAGACAACTGTGGAAAATCAAGTAAAGGCACTTACCAGCAAACCTGACAGCCTGAGTCAATGCCCAGTACTCACATGGTGGAAGTTCTAGTTTCATTCTGTGATGTGATAAAACACTATGATCAAAAGCAATTTGGGGAGGAAAAGGTCTGTTGGCTTATACTTCCAGGTCACAGTCCATCATTGAGAAGGTCATAGCAGGAACTTGAAGCAAAAACCATGGATGGATGATGTTTGCTGGCTCATGTCAAGACTCATGCTTAGCTAGATTTCTTATATAGCCCAGGACCACATGCCCAGGGAATGGTGCTGTCCACAGTGGGTTGAGCACTTCTGGATCAATTGGTAATGGAGACAAACCTCCACAATCAGGCCCATAAACCAATCTGTTCTGGGCAATTCCTTAATGGGGGCTTTCCTTTCAGAGGACTTCAGGTTGTGTCGAGTTGACAATTAAATCTAACTAGGACACGCATACAGAAATTTTCAAGCAAGCATCATTTCCAAAAGAAGAGAATGTATGCATCTATGGTGAATGGAAAGCAAAACCTATCAGCTACAGGAGAGAATGCCAGTTTGTGCTACAATGTGGACAAACCTTGAAGGCACCATGCTAAATCAAAGATGTCAGGCTCAGAATCCAGATGGAATAGGAACATCCAGAATAGGCAGTTCTCAAATACAGAAACTAGAGTGGTCCATGCCAAGATCTGGGGAGAAGGAAGGGATGAAGAATGACCAGACATAGCTGAATACAGGATTTCTTTGGGGTGTAGAATGATGAAAACATTCTGGAGTTAGTGTTGATTGACTGCACAACAGAGAATAGACTGAAAAACTATATGGAGTTTTTGTTTTGTTTTGTTTTTTACTGTATGTCAATTGTATTATTAAAACAATGGCCATTCACATAGAAACTCACAGAAATGCAGAGACAGAGGAGACCTTCCTCGACTGGATATGAAATGACTGCAGGGTTGGTGAGATGGCTTAGCAGGTAAATGCACTTGCCACACAAGCCTGGTGACCAGAGCTCCATCCCTGAACCCATGAAAAGGTGGAAGGAGGAAGTCACCTCTACACAGTTGTCCTCAGTCCTCCACATGTGTACTGTGTTAACAACTCCCACACACACTGATAAGAAGTACCATTTAAAAGAAGAAGCAAATGCAGCGTGCAACCAAGAACTGCTGGTGTGGTGGCTGAGGAGACAGCACTTTCATCCTATGGCTGGGCAGGCGTGAAATGCACACTCAGCATCTGTGTTCAGCACAGCTGACAAGTTTAACTGTGCAACAAGTCGGGAAATAGACCCTAAAGATTCTCTCTTAGTCGATTTTCTGTTGCTGTAATAAAACACTATGGCCAAAGCAACTTATAGAAGGAAGTGTCCA